AAAAAACACAGCAGTTATGACGAATGTGAAAACCACGACTCACAATGATTGCTGGTAACAATAATGAACACCCTAGACTGGGGAAAATAATATGAAATCGTTGACAATATAAATTATTCGAACGATATTTACCAAACAACCAATTCACGAAATCACAGACAACGTGGTTTTCTACTGCAAATGATGAAGATGACAAATATGGACGCCGGACGGAGCTCCTCCGCAACCGCAGCAAGCGAAAAAAAGAAGAAAAAGAGAATGAACACGAAAAACGAGCCGGTCCGACACAACGGTTTTGACGAACCGAGCTCGACAACATGAAGTATGAAACGAAGTTCAGTGTCACCTACACAAATGAAAAAATACGCGAACTTATGGAATTATCGGTGACACTGAGATTAATGAATTACGAAAACGTCAAAAACACGAAACATAATCGAATTTGTTTCGACTGCACACACGCGATACGAAACCAAAAACATTTAAAACGAATATGGGATAACGGTCGCATGCACGCACCGGACGGTTATCACACAACAGATGTTGTCAACCGCACCGCGGTGTCGTACGATGCGAACCGATATCACACAGCGCGAATAGTCAATAGAAATTCTATTTAACAAGTAATCAAATATAGATTAATGAATTAAGTAAGTTATAGGCATGAAAACTATAATGCAAAATGGAAATAATTAAACATTCATAATGTTTGATAAAAATATCGTAATGAATAATTTCAAATTATTTAATTTAAAGTAAAATATAGCTATAAATATTTCTAAATTATCCTAAACGAATTACACGAAAATATACAATTTTTATTACCTAATTCTAAACCAACAAGTAAAGTTATTTTTCTAATAAAAATAAAATATTCTACTTATTAGTCAAATTATGATGATATCATCTATGTCAAGATGATGTATTGTGTAAAACTAAAACTTTAAACACTTATAAATCATAAGCTACTCGTGTTCAATTTTTATACATCGAAATATTATAAAAAATATTCAGCTTCATAAAATGAAATGAAAAATGTATGTTGTCAATAAAAAAAAGTAAAAACTTAAAATATTATAACGATTAAATATATTTAAAAAAAAACTTTATTTTAGTTTGACTGGAAATTATGTAAAAAGATATTTTTAAGAACGTTAATAGATTAAAAAAAAAAAAAATTAAGCATAATTGTTTGATAAAAGTTCAAAATTTCAATAAACATATTAACATAACTGAATAATTAAATATGCCCGATGCAACCTCACATCATAACTTTTCACAGGTGAACGCGAATACTCGTATACTCGTATACGAAATCAAAAGTTTTCGGAGGAGTCTTGTCGCCCCAAGTCATCGTGCGTCCATCATCGCCACGGAGGCGAGCGAAACAATAACATGAGTAATTTCTATTTGTTTTTTATTGTTTCTCGAATAATTGGTAACCTGCAAGGTAATCACGGATATAGGTACTCGTGTACAACACTATATAACTACTCAGCCGTGTAGTATAACTAACTAAAATCACAGCGCCTGACCACCGTTATACAACTGATAAAATAATAAAATATGTTATTACATTGCCGTGGTCATCGCTGTAGCCGTTTTGCGTCGAACGTCACGAACATATTATACCGCTAATAATAATTACATGCATAAATATGTATATAATATTATATATTATATATTATTATATCCGTTACAAACGGGTATAAAATACGACTGTTTGATACGCGCGTGTGCCCGCAGAAGTACGGTCCCAGTCGTCGTATAGGTATGTAAATCGCGGTCGACCGTTACGAAACGCTGGTGAATATTATTATTCACTATCGTTAAATTATTATTATTATTATTGTTGTTGTTGTTGTTGTTTCGAATTTACGCGACGTCGTTAAAATTATAAAATCGGGTTACGTATAAATATAGAGATTATACTATAAAGGGACCAAAGTCGCTAATCCAAAACAATAATACATTCTGAAATTTCTTAAAAAATACCAATCGTCTATGGAAATATAGTTTTTTTTTTTTTTTTAATTTTTGATTGGCCCAAAAAACTAATAGATTCCATTGGATATGTACACTGGGTGCGTTAATTAAAAATATATTTTTAAAATATTATGCAATTTTTTTTTTTTTTTTTAGTCAAAATTTTATCTTGTTCTTTATAACGGATCTTGAAAAAATAAGTATGCTGATTTAATAAAAAGTTTTTTTATAGAACATTGAAAAATGTACATAGCTACCGTTTTTGTTTAAAAATCGTTTTGGTTATTTGTTGAAATATTGTAGAAAAATAAGAGCTTTAGTTTAGTAGATTTAGTATTTAACACTGCAGTATTAATGAAGCCATATGATAATTACATAGATAATTTATCAATGAATTAAGAATTTAAAATTTTGAATTTATTGGTTTTTTTTTCGTTTAGACTTAACGATTTGTATACGAGGATATATATATATATATAAGTACATATATTAATATATTATACGAACGTTTTTAAAATGTCGCAATAACCATTATTCGGAATTATTTACAACAATCTTTTTTCAAAAGATATCACAATCACAGCAATGATCAGCCACATTGTGGGTACTCTAAATCTTATCATTTATCCGTAAATACGATTTTTACTAATACATTCAAATAGAGCTATAGTATCGTTCACGAAGTTATTAAATGTTTAATTTATACTTTATAGACGCGATTTGTTTGATGCATGTTTTAAGGCAGCGTATCAAGGCGTACTCAGTAAAATAATTTATAGTTTAATATTGGTTGTCATTAGTTATATTTCATCTAAAAGTACTCAAATGAAATAATTGCGATTATAAAATCGTTAAAATTCTAAAAGCACCTCACCCTTTTAGTAAGGATATCATATTATTGTGTATTCTATTCTTATACTATGTAGCGTATTTTTATTGTACACGTTAAAAACTAGGGCATTGTAGAAGTCAAAAATAAAATTTTATTTATATAAATGAAATTTCTATGTTGTACTCGTAGGTAGATAAAATATATCGATTTATCCACGGTTTTCTCGTCTTTATTAAGGTAGGTTAGGTGTTCTTTTGAAAACCTACTTTGAACATCATGCGTAATGAACTCGTAGAATAAACATTCTATTAATGCTATTACATTTGAGCGTTTTCGAACGAACAAACAAATAATTAAATGATCACTAATAATAATAATAATAATAATAATAATTTATTTTTATTTAAACTCCAAATTGATTTCATTACAAACTTCTTTTGATCTTAGCACTCAGGATGTTTACTATATATTTTATCTGTCGCTTATGTATATACCATAGTAGTGCTATGGAGTGTGTGGGTAATTGGAGCGAAAGATGTGTCTCGCGCCCTTTGACTCGGGCGTGCCTTTGAATAACGTCAACAATAAAAAAGGAAACTATGACGAAAATTCCTTTATAATCTAAACACTGGTTTACAACTACAATTTTATATATTAATGACGACGACGCGAATTGCATTTTAATTGTGTACACGTAGGTCTATTATTTACAACATTATAATATGCGCGAATTCTGGTCGTACCTATAGCGTACGACGTTAAAACGCAAAGAGAAAAGTAACAATGTTTAGTATTGAATAAACCAAAAAAAACATTTACGCGGTTAATTACCTGACATGTTGGGTAAGCAAGCTTTTTGGGAAAGGTAATGAAAGAGTGGGTTAGATTTTATATAGTGATATGTACCATAGATGATTCATTTAACGTGTAATAATACACCCATAATTTTAAAAACTGTTATCTAATATTAAAAAAAATTACAGTCTTTATTATTTTTTATCGTTATAATTTTTGAAATCGTTTATTTTATTAATAAAAAAAATGTTGATAAGCATTTTTTAAGTTCTTGTTCAAATTTAGCGTATTTGTTGCTTGAAAATTAATTTTTGGACGGATAGTTTATGAGTTATTTAAAGTTTAGATGAATGGGGTCACAATACAGGGGTATTCCACGAAATGTTGGTCATTAATCTGTTTATTTAACTAATAAACTACTTGTCAGAAATTTTATTTTTATGAATTGAAGTACACCGATTTATATTCTGCTTTAGAATATGAAATATGTTTTCTCAAATTACGTGGTTAGGTTAACGCACCTGACGATTTGTTGGCCGCTACGGGCGGCACGGCTGGCGAATAAGCTCTGGCCGGTATGGACCCGGTGGGCGGACGGCCCCTATTGGGTAGCGTAGCCGACGATCCGGCCGGAAACTGATGGGTCATGTAGTATGGTTGTCCGGGGGCGCCGCCGCTGGTGCATTTGCTACCCTGTAAACAAACGAGAAAAAAAAAGCGATTAGTATCTCGTGTACATTATATAAAAAATATTATATTATTACTACGACGTGCCTATGGTGAAAAATCGATATGACGTTGATTGCAAAGTTCAAAGTGTAACTCAACCTAACCTAATCTATTCATAGGTATACTGTCATCATCAAAATATCATCATGTGTGGGATATCCCGCGGATGATGTCATTGAGTGCATATGCGTATCAATAAATTACATGCCCGAGGTGACTGTATAGATTATCGATCATCGCGAAATCGTATGTACGAACACACGGGCGTTCGACGAAATATTTTAATAATTGTCGTTTCGAAATTAATCGTTTTACTTTCTAAAAACAAAGACAACCTAAAATATATAGGCACGTTCGGGTTCGATCGTTGAGAGTTCGAGCATTGTGCCCTCGCCCGTTTAATCGGAATATACGTATTAAATGTAACCGCAGAGGGGATATTATTAAAATATTAATTGTACGCCCAGTTTTATAATAATTGTTGTTATTACCACATGCACTATAATTATTATTTTATTTTAATATATTATGTTATATTAATTGACGAAATATACGAGCTCGCGATTATCGCAATATATTAAGTTGTGTTATTATACACAGGTGTGCCTCGTTGGCACATATATACGTCCATGTACACGCAGATATATTATAGGGCTGACTGCTAATTACTGTCGAGATTTCGTGATATCCTTAAAATTATTAAAGCGAAAACGCCGTACCAGTTAAATATATTATACAATTTATAATTTGGCAACTCGACGATATTTTTCATCAACCAATTAATAATAACTATTATATCCACCATCTTTAATTAATTCTCGCCCGGAGTTCGTCGTTGAGCGATCAAAGTTCTCTTGAGACTTTAGAGTTATTATCGTCGTCGACTAAGCACATAGTATACGACAAAATATTATTATATGATTTACTGCTGTTGTTACTGTAGTTACGCTGCTGCATCAGAAGCGACGACGGACTGTGTCTTTTTTTGTTCAAAAGAATCATTGATTCGTAGAACGATTCGAATTATATATAATATTCGCATTTGTATATTATTATATCGTATTATTGTAGGAAAACTTATCATCAAAGAACTTCTGCGGAGCAAAGCATTCCTCGATTTACTTTCTGTGATATCCAAACGTATAATTATTGTCTACATTGGTACAAAATGATATAATATTATGTACAAAAATAGCCTCGGGAGAGAGATGTGTTTTACGTAAATAGTATAGATACCTATATATTATATACGATATAATATTATTTTGTGGAGAATTCAAAGTCGGTCACGGAAAAACACTGTAAACCGCGAAAAGAAATCATATACCTAGTTCCAAAACGCAGAATCCGCGAAAATAATACAGTCATTGAAATAATAAAAATAATTAACCTCTTGCACAGCGCATATAATATTATATCATGTGATGATTAGTTCTATCATAGCAGTTAATGTTTAATCAACTTATATACAGTGATACGTCAAGGATGATGTCATTAAATTACAAATTTATTCAAATTTTGGTTTTTGAAGATTTTAAATATACTTAAAGAGTAGAGACCATATTTTCATTTTCTAGAAATTTTTTGTATTACTCAAGGGTGTCATGTAGCGTTACAAACTTCTGTTTTTCAAATGAGACTCGCCTTTTTGTATAAATTAGAGTAGACTATTTTTTTAAATTATGATTTATTATCTTTAGATTTTCAAAGTCGATCAATAAACAATAAGAACTTGATCATCAAACAAAAATAATAAGTTTATTACATTACTAAATATTCAATACATAGACCTTCAAGAGAAAACAGTTTCATGTTACCATAAATAATAAGTGCATATGTATATCATTATTATTCACATATAGTTGACAATAATAGTAAATTGGTCTCATTTTCGTTGATGAAATCATACAACGAAATATTTAACAAATGGTAAGAGAATTCAATTTTAATGCAAATTGTATTTAAATGGTATAGTGTGGCTATCGCTCAAATACGGTTTTCTTATAAAATATTGTATTTGTATAATATAAACTCGAAAACGTGATAAAAACAAATGTAATTAATTACGAAGTCAGTGGACAATAATAATAATAATAATAATAATAATAATAATAAGTTGTTTCGAGGGATTTATGCGATGATGGTCTTTATTTATTTTATATGCTTCACAATTTAATGATTCAAAAACTATAAAAATATTAGAATGTATGCTGGTATAAGTAGACTGACTTTTATTGGGATAGGCATTTTTTCAAATGACGTATTTGTAAAGTAAATGGTTTGTACAGTAAACAAGTTATAAAAAATAATTAAAAATTAATGATACACTACTTTACTATTTGTCTATACCGATCTCTGCATGCTTCGTATGGTTTAATAACATAAAGAAGATTATTGAGTTAAAAGTTTGTCAGTAGATGCATACATTTATTGAACAATTTTAATATCGAAATAAACAGCTAAAATATGCGTAATATTTAGATGTTACTATTGTTTTGAGTATTATTACAGTTTCCTGTTCGGCGATCGATAGTGTTTTAAATGAAAATATAATTTCCGTAAAAAAAATGGTCTTTAATTTTACTTAAAAATTTAAATAAATTCATTATTAAAAATAAAAACAGGGTGATGATATGTTTGGTGAATCATTTTGTGTATATACAACGATGACAGTGTGACTATATACAAATATACGTATATTATATATACATTATATTTGATTCAGGGACAACGAGCTGCTCTACGTCTTAGCAGCTTGTTAAGGACTGTGCGCGGTTATGTGCTGAGACCTATGGATTAACACTGGTAATACAGTTATAGTCTCTCGTGGGATTAATGTACGCTCGCGGGAGAAACATTAATAACTTGTGCGCGGCAGCGATCACCGCGCCAGGAAGAAAGAAAACGTCAAAAAGGAAAAACTTCATTTTTATAAACTTTATTTTCGTTTTTTTCCTCGGGCTAGGATTCTTATTTAATCCCGCATTTCCACGTAGTTTTCCTATGAATTACTACGTATATGGCGTTATTATATATAATATTAAATTATTATGCGACTACGCTGCACATAGAGCGAATCGCGACCAAGTTCACAATGTTTCCCCTTGTTTTTAATATCTAGTAAATCTCTTCCATATGTGCTATTTTTATTATTACTATTATTTTTATTATTGTATGAGTCGCGAATCGAATATAATATCATCATACTATATTATGTGTTGTTTTTGCACTAGAGGATTTAAAGAGGAGTAATCTCTACTCTATCGACGGTTTTAATCAACATAGTATGAAAAAGTCATTAAAACTAATAACTTTTGTTTTTTTTTCGTTTTAGAAAATGATTGAATATTTTAAAGCTGCTTTATTTTCATCGTATAATCCAAGTGATAAATTAAGATCATTTTTCACACGTAAGTCACACCATGTTATAATACGTATATTTAAATTCAGGGACAAATTGGTTGGGACAATGCATACGTAATTATACGCATGCACACCAGCTTTTCGTATACATATTATATTAAGTACTATGTTACGATATTTTCTTGTTAGCGCCAGATCGAGCTTTTCTTCCCTTTATAGTGCGGTAATGGCAGACAGCGAAAACCCCGATTAATAGTAATTTACAATTATAATATTACTGTTTGTTTAGTTTATATTTGTAATACAATGTTGAATCAACTGGCTTTTGACTTTAATGAAACTGTGCGTATACTAGATTATTATTATTACTATTATTGTTAGTTGTTAGTATATGAAATGATTGTTATTATAATTATTTTATTTATTGTACAACAGTGAACTTTAACTGTATAATATAATACAATACAATACCTATATATGTACAAGTTCTTAAACGGCCGAATTGAATTGCTATTGCTCCAGTCGCTATAATTAAGTCGACACACATGGAATGTTTGTATTTAAAGTAGTTTAAAGCTGTATCCTACGACTAAATTACGTTAGCTTCGGACTGAACACAGTTATTATGATCACCAAACTTCAAATTTTTAAACACATCAACATTGGTATATACGTGACACTTAAGGTTAATTATAATTAATCGGTAAAAATTATTTTTAACATTTATTTTAAAACAACAATCAATTCACACGAATAATTATTTTTACTCGAGCTATAAATCATTAAGTTTTGCGGTTTAATGTCACGATGAAAACAGATCGTTTAGAATCTGTTCACGGAAAAAAAATATGAATTGTATCTCCATAAAACGTTGTATGATATTTTAAAGGTTAATTAAATAAGTTATTGACGAAATGTTTTTCGTTTCCTTTTTTTTCTTTTCTAGAAAGGTGATAGATGTATGAAGATGAATTACATATTATAAATTCCATGCGACATCCAATAATGGAAGGTATGTCATCTCAACAGTTCCGACAATAATAATAATAATAAATAAATAAATAATTAATTAATAATAAAAATACTGAAAAAAATTATAATTTTGCATCGAATGCAACTATCCGTCGGTCAGTTGTAACAATAACAAATAATATTACCTATGTATTTATACAAGTTTACAAAGTAATAATTTTGGGAACAATCGCATAAGCTTGACGGGTATACGAGAGGTAAAATGATTATATAAAATAAAATATGTTTTCCCGTCGGCTCCAACGTTATACATCGATCAAATTATACAATATTATGCACGAAACGAATTCGACGTGTTGTCGTGTTGTAACAATAATAATTACTCAAGTTTCAAATTTTAAAAAAAATATATATATTTATAAATATATATAATCAATATTAATAAATTTTTACTGAGAACAAAAAAAAAAAAAAAAAAACCGAAGTACAATGCCTATGGATATTTACGCGAGTCGGATCATCACGGAAATTGTAGAAACCGTTTACCACAAAACGTATAAACAATGTTATAATAATTAATAACGGTAACGACTCTATTTAATAATATTGGATGATGTTAAAATGGTGGG